TTCTACGATCATCCTGGATGATTCTACGATTGTCCTGGACGATCAGATCATTTCTTTAGAAAATTGAGGCATTCAATCAATTTTTCTCACACAATCTTTCTTCAACCCTCTGTGCTCTTACTTCCCTTATATTTTCCTAATTATAGCCAATGGAAAGAGGTCTTGCATGCCTTCTGGTAGTTCCTCGAGGGCTAAACCGGACCCTCATTTCACCGAGGCAAGCGACCAATCTGCCTATCTAAGGTATAAAATAGTCGGGATCACTATATCCTGAACTATCAACCCGCACATTCTTTTTTATCCTGTCCTCGATCTGTTTGCTCACACTACTCTCACTTTCCTCCTTACCCTTACTGTTCCATTTAATTCAGATTTACTGTTTGAGTTCTTCTCTAGCCTTCGCATCAATTCATCTTTCATCGCTTTACAGCCCTATATGAATAGAAAACCTATCAAAATCACTTATCAAGACTGTCAAGAGCTCCTATAAATGTCTACTATAGGAGACAAACTCCACACCCTATATTCCGATCCTGACTATACAAGAGTAGTAACATACTGAGGGTGTTGCTCATTTTGACTCTTACATGGCTCACTAGCAGCACTAGCACGACTAAGATATGGTCTGACTTGGGGAGCAATTTGCGACCCTTTCCAATTACTTTCAACCGCATCCACCACCACCACCTCCTCCTTCGGATGATCAGTGGCCATCTTTCTCTTAGTCTATTTTTATTATTTTAGTCTTCTCATGTTTTTTAGTTTATGTGTTGTTTTCCTTTTTCCCTCATCGTTTTTGTGATGTCAAAAGGGAGAGTAGCTGTACTGTTCTAGTTTATACTTTTTTTTAGCAGTGATACTATTTATTCTGTTATGTTTTTATGTTGGATAGTTGAATTATGTTTTTTTTTCACAATGTTTCCATTAAACTGCTTTGAACTGTTTTAATTATTTTTTGTGTTTGCCATCATCAAAAAGGGGGAGATTTTTACGAATCTATTTTTAGGAAATAGAATTTTGATGATAGCAAATACTTATGTTCTCTACGACTGCCTTGCCTACTACTATTTCAGGTCCACAAGATCAAACTGCAATTTGAACTAGCTCAAGATTAGGTAGACTAGATCTGAGTCAATTTGTAAACTTTTTTTTCTTGAGTCTATTGTAAATAATGTGGTTCCTGATACTAAGTAATCTTGCACACACACATTTGGGGGAATTTTTCTAACTATTTTAGAGTTTTCTGTTCTTGCTCACATCATCCGAGACGATACATAAATTAGCCTAGACAATCAGTTAAAAACAAAAGCCCTAATTAGGGCATCCTGGTTAAGGTAGACGTCATTAAGTGCATTGTCCTGGACGATATTTGTATCGGCCGAGATGATAGGTCCAAATCAGAAAGAACCACCTACCAAATCTATTTAGGTAGCTTTTATTTATGGACATCGTCTAGGATATCATCCTGGATGATGCAACATAATTGTGCCTAAATTAATTTGGTAATTAAAAAAAACAATAAAGGTTTGATTGCTTGATCATATCATCCTGGACGATCGTAGGATCGGCCGGGACGATCAGTTCAAAAATCTTAGTTGTTCATGGACGATCAAACATCGGTCAACTTATATTCAAGGCGATGTTTCTGGGCGATATTCAACAATTTGTACTAATCGTATAGGATAATATACTATAGCCTGGATGATATGAACAAAAACCTTATGATTTTCCCAAATCAACATAGCTGATTGAGCTTAATTTATACTGATTGTACAGGACAATATTTATATTGTCCTAGACAATAAAGTCGGTTTGGTGTAATTAAGAGCTATTACGAAGCTCTTCTATATAAGACCTCTTGTTCTACCCAAGAGATTATCTTTTGCTGTTGTTCTAACCTGAGAGAGCCAAGAGGAGAGGGAGAGCAAGGGAGAGAGAGAGAGGATCTTATGAGGAGTTTGTGAGGGGTTTCACAAAGGTTGCTCCAAGCAAGGATCCGTCGTTGTCTTCTCCAGTCATCATCCTTAGTTCCTTGGGGGTTCTAGATAGGTCTACTTCAGCATCTGATCAAGGTTCTCTACCTACTTCAAAAGGAATCAAAAGGAGTTGGGTTCTCTATCTACTTCTGGAGGAAGAAAAAGGAGTTGGGTTCTTTGCCTCACCTGGGTTAGTAGAAAGGAGGTTTTCTCTACCTTGCTGTGGGGGCAAAAGGAGACACACTGAGTTTAGTTCAATACTCAGAGGGTGCCTCCAGGGAGTGGATGAAGGTCGAGTTGATCGAACCACTATAAATTTCTATGTTCTTTATTACTGCTTCTGCACTTTGATTTCTGTGATGAATCTTGGTTTTTATTTTGAAGTTGTGTTTTGATAAAAAGATTTTTTTAAATACCAATGCACCCCCCCCCCCCGCTTTTCCCCCCCCCCTCTTTTGGTTAGCCTTGGGACTAGTTCATAAGGGCTTCACATCCCTATCGAACTTTCAAGTGCCATCAGAACTATTTGCCAACATATTTGATTTTCTTAAATCGTCCAAGAAGAAAACACTATTTCTTCTGATCATACAAGCTATCATCCTGGACATCACAAAACTGTCTTGGGACGATATATTGATTACCACCTATCTTAAACTAATCATCTCAGACAATCACAGGATCGTCCTGGATGACCTATACAAATTATTGAACTGATCATACAGGACTACGCTAGGCGATCTAACTTGAAGGGAAATTTTGAACTGACTGTACAGGATAGTCTCAGGATCTCCTTGATGATCTTTGCCGCTAGAATTGATTTTAAGGTTTTTCAAAGCCCTCTATTTAAGTTTTGTCAAGGAACTTTGTAAGTGTCTTTGGCAATCATTGTGTATTCATTCTTCTAGAGAAAATTTTAAGAGAGAACTTGGAAGGGAGAGAGGAAAGGGTGGAGTTTGAGAGGGAGAAGATCCTTTGAGGGGGTTTCAAGGGAGTGTGGAGGAGATCTCACATGGTTGCTTTGCCAAACTTGCACCTTAGTACACACACACACATACATACATATATGCATAAAAGAAATTTTTTAGTTTTTCAGTGATAAATGGTAGATAAAGAAGAGTTTGCTATTAGTGAATGGTGCTGATGAAAGAGTAGAGAAAGTGGTCAGTTTATGTACAAAACACAATAATGTAATTATTCTATGTACTGGTAGCATGTAGAATTGTTGAATTGATAGTGTTATAGTTTGAAGGTTGTACTTATGCCCTAGAAAGACAAGTGGTTTGCTTACACTTGAGGAAAGGTAATTAAGGGTTATACCTATTTCATATAAAATGCAATTATGGGTACTGCATGAACCCAATAAAGAAAATTATTAGCTTAGTAAAACTTTGTTTTCCTTCATAATTAGTGCAGATGGATAATGGAATTGCTAGGGGATGGGAGGCTAATAAAATTGCTATAAATCTTCATTTATTTTATCATTAGTAGTTCACTTTCTTTCTCTCATTTGCTCTATTATACATTTTAACATTAGTATGCCAGATTTACTAACTTTCTTATCAGTTAAAACTCCCTCGCCGAATAAGAAAAGCGAGCGGAGGCCGAGGCCGAATTTTCGGAGCCCACATTAATTTATTTGATAAAACTTAAATTCCGTAATTGATTATCATAAAAACTCAATTCATCCCACTTAGGCTTTGTTTGAGATCGGCTTCTTACTATTTTTTAAAAGCAGATTTATAGTACAAAAAATTTTAATGAAGAAATTATGTACTAAAAAACTATTTTAAAAAGCAGTAAGTTGTCCCAAACAAAGCCTTAGGTGTGAACTTAAACCAACAATATAATGTATATAACATATTCTTTGAAAAATACAAGTCTCTTTGATTGTCACTAAACCTACTGTAGGTATTAAAATATTCATCAATTTATTTGAAGATGGCATTAGCTTTTGGTAAGCTAAGTTCAATGCTTGTGAGATTTTTTTTATTTTTTTAATTTTTCTTGTGTTATTAATCATTTTTATTGTCCTCTTTCACTTTATATTTATATGCCAATTTTGCAAATGTGTCTTTTATCTTCTATTATTATTTTGTAAGAGATTTTATAATTATTACACATAAAATTCTACACCCAACACTAAGGGGTTATCTTATGATGCATAACTCTACACTAATGACTTCAAAGGAACGTTTTAATTGGAGGCCATGTCATATAAATTTTAGGATTCGTTGCAATCTTTTGAAAATAAATTTCAACTAATTAAACACCATGCTAAGTTTGTGTGTATCTTTCTATCCTTTATTTTTAAATTGCAAAAAATTTACTAACAGTTGCAACTGTCTTTAACAAGAAGAAGATAAGAATTTGTGGTAGTCAAATAATGTATGATGAGTTAATAATTTTGTATGGAAATAAGCCTTCTAAAAACATATAGAAAGTAAGATCAATTAATTTCTTTTGCCTTTTTTTTACTGAAAATGTATGAATAGCGAAATGATAAGATATATAAAAAATTATAACTTTGTAGAAGTTCGATTATTTCGGATCTTTACATTGGGATAGTATTTTTTTTCTTCTCCTTTTTTTTTTTCTCAAATGTAAACGATAGAAAACTAGTGTGCTCATCAGAAAAACAAATTACTATACAAAAAACAGCTTCTTCAAAAATGCTAGAGATGTGGATGAAGTCAAGGAAGCAATTTGTGATGGTTCAAGGCCGGTTCCTGGTCCGTTGGGAGCTACTATTTTGAAATTTGAATTCAAAAATTCACAAATTCAGGAGCAAGAAGAGATTGCAGGTTTTGCTGATATTGATTTGGTTATTAAACCAAATCCTTCTAACTTTCTGCTTACGGCAAGGCAGAATTAGGAGGAGAAGATAAATGAGGTTTTAACAGAATTTGTTACACCTACTTCAGAGGTGAATTTGAATTTCAAAAAGACAATAATAATGAAAGGGAAAACATGAACTTTTAAGATTGATCATTCTTCTGGTTCTAAACATAAACTTTTCAAAGAAATTCAATCCTTGGGACCAGTGGAAGGCTTTCCTAGAAGGAGAATGGCTGATCTTAGTTCAAAGAAGTTAGTAAGGGGATCTTCCCCTTTAGCTCATTAATGCTTTCTTACTCTTTCATGGGAGTCTACTGCAAGGTGATTTATGAAAGATACTTGATGATGGAATTCATAATCAAAGAGTATCTTATATTAGTAACTTTGGTTTATAATCGTAAGATTTGGAGTTGGAATCAGAGAATTCTTCCAAAAATTCTCATATATGATTCTCAGATTTTGGTACACATTTCTATTTTTTTACTTTATTCTTGTTTTAGGTTCCTTTGTTTTCTTCTAGTTTTATATTTGTTTTCTAAAATTACTCTAATTATTTATGGAATTGATACTAGGTCTTATTTCTTAACCGATTGGGAATTCTAGGATACTAATCAACCTTTTAGGCTGTTTTATTTATTTGGTATTCCCTCCACCCCAAGGTTTTTTAAATGAGAAATAGTAGGGTCTCATTTCAATTATGATAATTTTAGTTTAACAAATATGCTTTCAATAAGGTTTCTTTCCATGTTGGATCAAGGTTTCTTTCCATGTTGGATCAAGGAACCCTTAGTTTTTTATTTTTATTATAGTTTGTAATAGGTTGTCCTTCTTTTTTATTTAATACAATTTTGCATTTTCTCAAAAAAAAAAAAAAAAAAAACACACACTTTTTTATTTAATACAATTTTGCATTTTCTCAAAAAAAAAAAAAAAAAACACACACACAAAACAAAAGAAGAAGGAATGAGATCAAAAGAAAGAGTTTCCCAAAGGAAATTATTACTATGAGCAAAGTTAGCATATTCATTTGCTAACTTATTACATTCTCTTTTAACACATGTAAAAATAACTTGTTTAAATCTCTTAAGAAAGTCCATTTCTTCACCTCCAATCGAAATATCTCCTTTATTTGTATCAATCTTCAAATTTTGAATAAATTGAATGATATTAGCATTATCTCCTTCAATAATTATACCTTCAAAGTCTAGCATCCATTCTTGCAAGATAATCTTCAAAGCTTGAATCGCCAATAACTCTAACCAAGAAATATCCCAATGTAAGCCTTTAAAACCAAAAGCCATAAGAAATCCTCCCTTGCAATCTTTGAAAACCCTTCTAACTGTAGCTTCATATGATTGATACAATGAAACATCTACATTGAGTTTTGGCCAACCGGGTGGAGGAGGGTGCCAATTATTTAAAAACAACATATGCGGCTGGTTAGCACCCCAGTTTCCCGAATGTGGATAAACTCTTCTAGCAAATGAAGCTAGAGCAATTGCTTGAGCTGCAATAAAAGAATTAGAATCTTCTTTTCCATCATAAACATATTTACCTCTAGATTTCCAATTGAGATAAACAATGTTACAATAAATTTTTGCAACTAGCAACTTAATCCCAACGTTCCCTTCCATCCAGCTACATCGATCCTGTAATGATTGAAAAGCCGGGATATTGAATCCCCATTCATTGATGATATGAATAATGTTTCTCAGTTTAGGACAAGCGGCAATTAAATGATTAATGTTTTCAGTTTCTATACATCCCCTAGGATATATATCAGTATATGTCAATCTTCTTTTTAAAAGAAACTCAAAGGTTGGCACAGCTCCATGATAGATTCTCCACCAGAAATTCTCAATTCTCGGGATGAGCTTTATCTTCTTAATCCACTTCCAATATAGCTTGTTTGCCAATGGATTTTCTGCTAAAATAACATCTGTGACCATAGAAGAAATACTTTTCCCTGTAAATAATTTAGTAAACTCCAATTGATCTTTCGGTAGGAATGAACATATTTGAATCCGGGAGATAATATTTACCAATTCTTCACCAAAACAACAATTTAAAATCTGTTTGTTCCAGCATCCATGATTAATCAGCTCCTCCACATACATATCTTTCATCACCTGAACTGAAATATAAGTTGGCCATTTGTTGATGCGTTTGTTTAGAATCCAAACATCATTAAGAACATTGATGCTTTTGCCATCTTTCACTTTCCATTTGACCACCGAAGCAATGAATTTAGCACCATTACACAGGATTTTTCAAACCGCAGAGCCTTTCTTCGTTTGAACTTTCCAATTACAAAGTCCATATTTTGCTTCCATAATTTTGTAGAAAAAGGAGGATGAACCACTAAGAAATTTTCAAACCAATTTAGCTTTGAAAGGACCCACCATCTCTTCAAAAGAGTGAAGACCTCTACCACCCCACTTATAAGGAAGACAAAGAACATCCCACTTCACATAGTGTAAACCATTTTTCCTTATGCCCTAGAAAGACAAGTATTAAGGGTTATGCCTACTTCATATAAAATGCAATTATGGGTATTGCTTGAGCCCAATAAAGAAAATTATTAGCTTAGTAGAACTTTGTTTTCCTTCATAATTAGTGGAGATGAATAATGGAATTGCTAGGGGATGGGAGGCTAATAGAATTGTTATAAATCTTTATTTATTTTATCATTAGTACTTCATTTTCTTTCTCTCCTTTGCTCTATTGTACATTTTAATATTAGTATGCCATATTTATTAACTTTAATTTACACCAACCAAAAAACTTGATTGTCTACTCTTTTTGGAGTATTGATCTTCCACTATCTTTCATCCATTCACCTACAAGTTGCTAACCATTTTGAAATTCACAATCAACAGTATTAGCATACTTTTTGCAACTTCTTTATTTAACTATTATAACTTAATTTTTCTTTGAAGTTCCAAGTAATATCCACTTGGGTGCTTTGATATATTTTGGCATCATTATTATTATTATATTTTTTATTTATTATAGTATTCACCTATTTGAGTGTGTTGACATACATATTTTTCAAGGATTTAATTAATACATATTTTATGACCTTTTAAAAAGGTAAAGTTCTCACATACTTAGGTGTGCTGATCTTTATTTATAATACTAAACTTACAATAATTGTTCATTTCATTTATCATGTTTGGTTCACCCTCAATTTATGCTAATATTCTTATTTTTCACATAGCATTTAATTTATTTGATAAAACATAAATTCCGTAATTGATTATCTTAAAAACTCAATTCATCCCACTTAGGCTTTGTTTGAGATCGTCTTCTTACTATTTTTTTAAAGAAGATTTATAATACAAAAATTTTTAATGAAGAAATTATGTACTAAAAAATTATTTTAAAAAGCAGTAAATTGTCCCAAACAAAGCCTTAGGTATGGACTGAAACCAACAATATTATGTATATAACATATTCTTTGAAAAATACAAGTCTCTTTGATTGTCACTAAACCTACTGTAGGTATTAAAAGATTCATGAATATGGTAGGTGGATCAAGGGAGAGAGAGAGAGAGGATCTTATGAGGAGTTTGTGAGGGGTTTCACAAAGGTTGCTCCAAGCAAGGATCCGTCGTCGTCTTCTATAGTCATCATCCTTAGTTCTTTGGGGTTCTAGATAGGTCTACTTCAGCATCTGTTCAAGGTTCTCTACCTACTTCAGGAGGAAGCAAAAGGAGTTGGGTTCTCTAACTGCTTCTGGAGGAAGCAAAAGGAGTTGGGTTCTCTGCCTCACCTGGGTTAGTAGAAAGGAGGTTTTCTCTACCTTGTTGTGGGGGCAAAAGGAGACACACTGAGTTTAGTGCAATACTCAGAGGGTGCCTCCAGGGAGTGGACGCAGGTCGAGTTGATTGTACCACTATAAATTTCTATGTTCTTTATTACTGCTTCTGCACTTTGATTTTTGTGATGAATCTTGATTTTTGTTTTGAAGTTGTGTTTTGATAAAAAGATTTTTTTAAAATACCAATGCACCACCCCCCCCCCCCTTCTTTTGGTTAGCCTTGGGACTAGTTCATAAGGTTTTAACATCCCTATCGAACTTTCAAGTGCCATCAGAGCTATTTGCCAACATATTTGATTTTTCTAAATCGTCCAAGAAGAAAACACTATTTCTTCTGATCATACAGGCTATCATCCTAGACATCACAAAACTGTCTTGGGACGATATGTTGATTGCCACCTATCTTAAACTAATCATCTCAGACAATCACAGGATCGTCCCGGATGACCGATACAAATTATTGAACTTATCATACAGGACTACGCTGGGCGATCTAACTTGAAGAGAAATTTTGAATTGACTGTACAGGATAGTCTCATGATCTCCTTGATGATCTTTGCCGCTAGAATTGATTTTTGGGTTTTTCCAAACCCTCTATTTAAGTTTTGTCAAGGAACTTTGTAAGTGTCTTTGGCAATCATTGTGTATTCATTCTTCTAGAGAAAACTTGAAGAGGGAACTTGGAAGGGAGAGAGGAAATGGTGGAGTTTGAGAGGGAGAAGATCCTTTGAGGGGGTTTCAAGGGAGTGTGGAGGAGATCTCACATGGTTGCTTTGCCAAACTTGCACCTTAGTACACACACACACACATACATACATATATGCATAAAAGAAACTTTTTAGTTTTTCAGTGATAAATAGTAGATAAAGAAGAGTTTGCTATTAGTGAATGGTGCTGGTGAAAGAGTAGAGAAGGTGGTCAGTTTATGTACAAAACACAATAATGTAATTATTCTATGTACTGGTAGCATGTAGAATTGTTGAATTGATAGTGTTATAGTTTGAAGGTTGTACTTATGCCCTAGAAAGACAAGTGGTTTGCTTACACTTGAGGAAAGGTAATTAAGGGTTATACCTATTTCATATAAAATGCAATTATGGGTACTGCATGAACCCAATAAAGAAAATTATTAGCTTAGTAAAACTTTGTTTTCCTTCATAATTAGTGCAGATGGATAATGGAATTGCTAGGGGATGGGAGGCTAATAAAATTGCTATAAATCTTTATTTATTTTATCATTAGTAGTTCACTTTCTTTCTCTCATTTGCTCTATTGTACATTTTAACATTAGTATGCCAGATTTACTAACTTTAATTTACACCAACCAAAAGACTTTATTGTCTACTCTTTTTGGAGTATTGATCTTTCACTATCTTTCATCCATTCAACTACAAGTTGCTGACCATTTTGAAATTCACAATCAATAGTATTAGCATACTTTTTGCAACTTCTTTATTTAACTATTATAACTTAATTTTTCTTTGAAGTTCCAAGTAATATCCACTTGGGTGCTTTGATATATTTTGGCATCATTATTATTATTATATTTTTTATTTATTATAGTATTCACCTATTTGAGTGTGTTGACATATTTTGCAAGGATTTAATTAATACATATTTTATGACCTTTTAAAAAGGTGAAGTTGTCACATACTTAGGTGTGCTAATCTTTATTTATAATACTGAACTTACAATAATTGTTCATTTCATTTATCATGTTTGGTTCACCCTCAATTTATGCTAATATTCTTATGTTTCATATAGCATTTAATTTATTTGATAAAACATAAATTGCGTAATTGATTATCTTAAAAACTCAATTCATCCCACTTAGGCTTTGTTTGAGATTGGCTTCTTACTATTTTTTTAAAGCAGATTTATAGTAGAAAAAATTTTAATGAAGAAATTATGTACTAAAAACGTATTTTAAAAAGCAGTAAGTTGTCCCAAACAAAGCCATGGGTGTGGACTTAAACCAACCATATAATGTATATAACATATTCTTTGAAAAATACAAGTCTCTTTGATTGTCACTAAACCTACTGTAGGTATTAAAAGATTCATCAATTTATTTGAAGATGGCATTAGCTTTTGGTAAGCTAAGTTCAATGCTTGAGAGATTTTTTTTTTTTCTTGTGTTATTAATCATTTTTATTGTCCTCTTTCACTTTATATTTATATGCCAATTTTGTAAATGTGTCTTTTATCTTCTATTATTATTTTGTAAGAAATTTTATAATTATTACACATAAAATTCTGCACCCAACACTAAGGGGTTATCTTATGATGCGTAACTCTACACTAATGACTACAAAGGAACGTTTTAATTGGAGGCCATGTCATATAAATTTTTAGGATTCGTTGAAATCTTTTGAAAATAAATTTCAACTAATTAAACACCATGCTAAGTTTGCGTGCATCTTTCTAGCCTTTATTTTTAAATTGCAAAAAAAATACTAACGGTTGCAACTGTCTTTAACAAGAAGAAGATAAGAATTTGTGGTAGTCAAATAATGTATGATGAGTTAATAATTTTGTATGGAAATAAGCATTCTAAAAACATATAGAAAGTAAGATCAATTAATTTCTTTTGCCTTCTTTTTACTGAAAATGTATGAATAGCTAAATGATAAGATATAAAACAAATTATAACTTTGTAGAAGTTCGATTATTTCTGATCTTTACATTGGGATAGTATTTTTTTCTTCTTCATTTTACTGAAAACTAGTTTGCTCATCAGAAAAATAAATTACTATACAAAAAACAGCTTCTTCGTTGTTCCTCTGTTTGGAAAAATATCAAAACACCAATGCTGCAAATGAAAACATAACATTTTTTGCATTATACATCAGCCAAGCCCAAGCCTGGGAAGAGCTTCTATGGCAGGTCAAGTAACAAGCAGAGTATCTGAACTACTGTAAAAGAATAGCCGGTTGTTGAAAACTGGAATTGGTGGATGAAAGTGATGTGAACAAAGGCAAGTCCTTAAACTCTGCTGTATCGGAGGTGGCCGACTGATCCTCATCATTTTGCCGCCCAGGTCTAATCCACACCTTAATGAGCCCTTCCCTGCAAATTGTAAGCACCGACTCATTTGTAAATATCACACCTGAGAGAGGCTCAGCATGTATACGGTGTGCAACTACAGGTGAGAGCTTCGGCACATCTCTCAAGCTTGGGGAAGGTTGGAGAGTTTCAGGGCTATAAATGTTATCCCTGTGAGCAGGAGGACCTCCGCTGCTTAGAGTAGGTGACCCACCAGTACGACAACGCAGAGGCACTGCAATTTCCTCCAATGCAAGGTCCCAAAGGAGCATCTGAGTATCCTGCAAAGGAGCTTCTGGCAGCAAATTAGTGTGTCAAATGGACGTAAGGGCTCATTTGGCAGTTTCTGAGTTAGAAAATGTCTTTTAAAAAATGATATAATTTACTGGATTCCATCATTTGGTAGGACCTATACTTAAAACTCAATCTTGATTTAAAACTCTAAAAACATGTAAAATCTTTTTAAAATGACTATTTTAATATTTTTAAACACATAAAAATTAGTGAAAGTAAATTATCTTTTTTTTTTTAAACATATTTTCTATCTGCAATCAACTCCAAATAAGCCCTTGAATGATATCAATCCAAAAAGAAATGAACATAAATCCCAACTATTTCCTGTAGCATACGCAATGCTTACTTGATTAAGTTTAGAAAGCCAAACCAAATAAGAGGGCAAATTTTGGTCAAGAGAGAATTGAAAGGAATAATTCAGTTGCTTCAAGCTTGAAATTCAACATCCTAACACCCATATTTATAGAAGGAAACAATGAAAATATAAACAATATTCAAAATTCAAACCTAATCTATTTGCAGTACTTAAGAAAACTACCTTCAATATCTTAACAAAGATGCAATTAAAAGTAATTCAAATATCCCTCATCCTTCTAGCGAACATCCAAGCCTTATCCTGAACTTAGAGTTTAATTCTTGTCTTTTTTGCATTTAGGTCATTCATCTTTCAGAAACTATTCAAACTCTGATCAACTTGAATTTGAGAGTGGAGGTCCTATAAGATTGGAGCTCTTCTTTTTAAGACATTTGTAATCAATCAGAAAATAATGGCAATATAGAGATAAAATAAACACTTGATTAATGATGTTGACCTTAATTACATCAAAAACATTTTTATCAATGATCTAAACTAGATACTTATCAAGGGCAAGATCAACAATGGTAGTCTTCTCAGTCGCACTGGCGAATCTTTTCACGAACAAGGCCTCTAATTCCACGAAGGTCTTCAGAGAATCATTTGGCAGTTCAGCATACCATTCGAAAGCAGTTCCACTCAAGCTGCTCACGAATTGCCTGAATAACAAAGCATCATTGCCTCCTGTATTTTCGCAGGTAGCTTTGAATTGCACGAGGTGCTGCCTGGGATTTTTATTGCCATCAAAAATATTAAATTTCGGCACAGAATATCCCTTTGGATATGGCACCTGATCGTACTCTGCCGGGTACGGGCAACCTTTGCCTACCAACTTCTCCGCTTGTTCAGCAGCTATAATGGCCTTAATCTTTTCGCTAATTAAGCTCTCAAGCTGCACTGCAGTTACAAGTTCAGAGGTGCTCGCCACATTTTGTGGAGTACGATGGCGGGTAGGATCATCGTTCTTATCGCCACCTTCAGGTACACTTTTCACTCCTGAAGCTTGGGGTGCTTGAGAATTTTGAGGATTAGCAGCTTGGTTGACGGGTTGAGCCGGTGCAGGGCCCACAGAAGTGATCTTTTGCATCATCTCCATCATGGCCGTCATCTGAGTCATCATCTCAGTCATTTTATCATTCAACTGAGAGATTTTTCTATCTTTCATTTGATTTCTCATTTCAGCGAGTGTGATATCTTCGCCAGCGAAGGGATTCTCTCCAACCTCTTCTTCTTCCTCATCTCCTTCTTCTGAGGAGCGAGCACTTCGGCTGGCAATGGATCTAGCCCTGTGACGGCGTCGATAAACACGAACGCGCGGCTGTGATTGCTGTTCTTCTTCATCACCATCATCTTCTTCAACATCAATGTGGCTGACCATACGAACCACCTCGATTTCCATAGTATCATCATCGACATATTCTTCTTCATCTTTTTGTACCTGAATTTCTGAGCGGCGTCGCCACTGAATTTCAGGCTCTTGACTTGGAATGATTACTTCTTCGATCTGCGGACTACGATCGAAATGAACTTCCTCTTTGGCTGAAGTAGGAGAATGACGGGATCTCCTGGAAGACTCTCCAGGATGTCGACTGTCATTATAATTGTCGTCATTATGGGCCTTCTTTTGGACCCATTTCTGACGAGTTCTGTTGGCAGGTGCGGATCTCCGGTAGACTGTTCCGGATGTCACGCTTGACTTATCTCTTTCTTCAAAGACCTTTTCATTTCGAGGCTTTGGCCTCCAAACTTGTTTGCCTTTCCGCTGGGCCCTTTCGGCGACGGATTCTTGGACATGGGGTCCAAGTGTCACGCCCCGATATGCTTCCTGCGGAGCTTATCGTCGATAACCTCTTTTTTCTGTTATCGTAGCAGATGATAGCCTCTCTCTAGGAAGGGTTCTTCGGGCCTCAACAATCAATGGCCTCTGGAACTTCTTTTTCATTAAGCCCTTCTCCTTGACTGTCTTCAAAACTCGGTGCACCCGGGCAGACAGGCGTTCAGGCTCTCTTATCTTCTGAGGGGCTGAAACTTTAGGATGACGATCACAGAAAGATTTTTTAAGCTCACCAGATGAGCTATTTCTCTTTACCCACTTAAGGTTAGAAAACTTATTTTGAGTGGGGATATTAACTTCTGGTTCTGGTGCTGGCAGGTTGGAGGGATGAACTGGTACTGTCAGTTGCTGAGCACGTAGTTCTGCATTTCTCTTCCTCCTATGCCTTCTGTTGAGCCTTCCTCCAGATGAAGAAGCCTCAGCATCATACCTCCCAGATGCAGCAGTCTCTCTTGGCAGGTTAGTGGTGTTGGCAGTCACCATAGAGATCTTTCTTCCAGTGACAACCCTTTTTGCAGTAAGGGTCTCAGATTGGGATAGCCTTTTAAATACATAAGTTCTTCCTTGGGCAGTATTCCTGGGAGTAGTCCTTGCAGAGTGAGACCTTCCAGAAAATTCTTCAGAGTTGACGCCGTACACAGGAACGGCTGCAGCCCTTGCAGTAGCTGCTGAGAATTCGAGCCCACCAAAGTGGATAGTGGCTCCAGTGTTTCCAGCTTCTATGACAGCATTCGCCACTTGAATTCTGGCTCCTCGTCCCAGTTGGACGGTCATTGGTGTGTCCTGCATTTTCATTCTGCAAAAATGAAAGGCAGGGGTTAGTGATCAGAATTGATACATCACCCTACGCTTTCATAACAAAGAAATAACGCAGAACAAATAATAGAAGCAGGAGAGTTAGCATGGAATTAAAAACCCTGCTAAACGAATTTCCATTGATCTTATTTAAAAGATTCATTTTCAGGAAATTTAAAATTTAATTTGCTTGCTACTATAGCCTTTTAGTGACTAGCCAAAGATGGAAAGAGAAACCAATCCCCAGCGGAGTCGCCAGAAATCTATGGGCTCCGAAAATTCGGCCCCGGCCTCCCCGCCTCGCGATTTCTTTTTTTTTGAATTAATTATAATTAACATTAATTAATTATAATTAATTAAGAAATTATTTTTTAATTAATTACTTATAATTAATTATAATAAATTAATATAATTAATTAAAGTTTATTAAAATTAATTAATATCATTAATTATAATTAATTTGTAATTAATTATAATTAATTAATATTAATTAAATTTTAATAAATTATAATTAATTGAAAAGAGCCGAAGAAGTGGCGGGAGGTAGAAAGTTATCTTCACGGTGGCGAGCTCCCGTCTTTGCTTACTATCAAAATGTCGCTACGTCCGATCCCTAGGAAGGGAATGTCAGACGAGCGAGCGAAGTCGAACGGCAGTACAGGAGGCGGCGAGCTCCCCTGTTTCGCCCGATCAAAATGTCGCAACTTTCGTCTGACCGCAAGGGGAAGTCGTCGAAGGAGCAGTCGAACAGCACGGAGGAGCAGAAGAAGCGATGAAGGATCGAGCGAGAGAGGGAGCCAGAGAGGTCGGGAGTGGAGTAGAGAGCGATCGAGAGAGTCGGAGAGCGGGATTGCGAAAACAAGAGCGTGAGAGAGAGGGAAATCGAGAGTCAGTGAAAGAGTCGAACGAGAGAGCGGGCAATCTCATTTCTTCGACACTTAATGCGATAGAGAGGTGAACGTGGGAGAAATGATGCGGACATGTCGGCGACGTGCTGAATTCGGCGCCGGACAGGTATTTTTATTTTTCATTTTTTTTTAAGTTACGGGTCAACAGCTGGAAGTGTGATTTGATACTAGATGACCTGGAAGGCTTGGGATAACACCACACACTCTATGCAATGTAAAATCTTGACAGGTGAGTCTTCCAAAAATTTGCATCCGGCTTTGCTAAGAGAATTTTGTTTTAGGTGAAATTCTGAGAAGGCTCATATGATTGCAAATAAGACATTACCTAGATATTTCATTCTCATCTTATGAGAGCTTTATGGTTTGTTTTTAAATTTTCATAGGCCAAGCACTTATTATTAATTACCCCTATTGGTAACAAAAAAACCTTTCAATTAAGGATAGTCATTAGATGCTATGTGTTTAACTTATAATAGAAACAAATTTGACTTAAGATTGAGACGTTTATCACTATAAACTTAAAGTGAATTGTGGTGAGAATGATGACAACTCTGATCAAGATTTCATAATTCTACCGTTTAGAGTTGTAATGAACTCTAGTCTAGTTATCAATAGAGATAGTAGACGCAACATGATCTAATGATCTTTATCGGCAGCCATGAGTTGTGTCCAAGAGAATCTTGTAGACTTAGGTTAAATATTTGTCTAAATGAATGAATTTAAGTAAAACTTAGCAAATAGAGAGTTGTGTTCCCTATTAAGTGGCCTCTGTGGTTCACCATTCATATAATATCAAACATCCTAACTTTGGTGGTGACAATTTACAGCTAACCACTCGATCAGAGGACACCGATCATAACAATTTACAAGTGGTGCCCTTTTAATGGCAAAACCACCAATTAGATAACAAATGTAACATCCTCACTAAAAGATGACAATTTACTGTTAACCACTAGACCAGAGGGCACCAATCATAACAATTTACCAATGGTGCCCTTTGGCAATGAGACCACCAATTAGATAACACGTGCAACATCCTCACTAACAAAATATCATTTGAGAATGAACATAATGATACCATTGACAAGACATTGT